CCATTTGCAACGTTTAGAAATTATCCTACATCCATGCCAGAGCTCAGCGGTTTCATTTTTTAAAAAATCCATTCTAAGATATAAGAGTCTTATCTCAGTGTGGTTTAAAATTGCATTTCCTTAATGCCAAGAAGTACTTTTACAATAACTTTCTAAAGAATTTAATGGAAATGTTTCATCTGCTAAAAGATGACTGAGATGAGGTGGTGACAGTCAGTATTGACTAAGCTCAATTGAAAGTCTGAGATTTTTAAAGCTGGCCTAGGGTGGAGAAATAATATAGAAACAGTATGTGGTTTATTCAGTAGAAATAACAACTTAAATTAGAGGAAGAGAGCAAGAGAGAAAAGTGTTGTACAAACTTATAAATATATGATTGGAAAAAGATGACAGCCAAAGAATATTATTTAAAGGTGATTAAACAAAAAGTAGACACTAAAACTAAAAACTGAGCTGACTATAATATCAAAGGTATAATTAAAGTCATCTACTTGACATTTCACATAAACAAAATGAATTATCAAGAAAATAAAAGAAAATCACAGGAAGGAAAAATTACAACGAACATAATTAAGTGCACAGTGTTTTTGTGGATTTATCATATTATGATACAGTTGAGGCTAATTATACCAGTTATTTTCATAAATATTAATTTGCTTAACTCATATGCAAAAAGTATAATTGGTTCAAATAACCAGTTTGATCCTATTTATAAGACACAGCAAGTACAAAGTGAGCAAAACTAAATGGATGGCTAAAGTTAGAAAAATTAATGCAAATAATTGAAAAATATTTGATGTAATCCCAATGCTAGGAAAGAAGAAGCCAGAACAATAAAGACTCCAAAGAATATTTTACTATTTAAAAAGCATAATGTGAATTGAAGACACAGCAGTTATGAATATCAGTGCACTAAATAACACAGCACTCATTTCATAAAGTAGGAGCTACAGAAGAAAAAACAGGGAATGAACAGTAAGTTCAGACTTTCAATCCAAAGTATAGTGATAGGTGTAAATGCAGAACTAAAATATGTGAGATAAATGATAAAAATCTGTGAAATTGTGTGTGCTTCTTATCTTATCTCAATAGCAGTGAACACACTCCTCAAAAAGAACACTTCAGTGCTTCATCAAAATGCTCATTTTTGAAAGCCAGAAAATCTCCACTATATTAACTGAAGTGAGAAAAAATAGCCCTCAAATGCACTAAAATATGAGCACTGTAGTAACAAAATCTTTTAAAAATTCATATGTATTAGAAAAATGTGTAACTGTTAACCTAGTTTTGATTCTAGAGATACAAAATTCAAATTTTCAAATTCTAAAAATTAGTGTATTATTGAATAAACTACAATGAAAATCTATGAAATTAAAAACAAAACAGCTTCAGAAGAAAATACTTATAGGGATACAAATGAGAGGATGAAAATAAAGGAATAAGATGCTCAGTTCATACATATAGGAAGCAAAAAAGAAAAATAAAATGTGGAAGGAAGGAAATAATAAAGGCAAAATTAGGAACTGATGGAGAGATAATTGATAGAACCACAAAACAAATCATAACAAAGATCTTTAAATTTTTAACAACATAGATAAATCACTAGATGCATAATGAAGAAAAATTGGGAAACACTAATACCCAAGGCTGGTGTGATGAGTGAGAAATAGTAATTCCAACATGGATTTATTTAAAATGAGAGGTTGTTTTAGTCAGGGTTTGCAAGAGAATAGACAATAAGGAAGACATTATTTATAGGATTATTTAAAAATATTCACCAAAAAAGTCAAATGCAGAGGAGTCCAAGAGATCTGTCTGCACACTAGAGACCTGAAGATTCCTGCCAAGGGCCTGGATCCCACGGCAGTGGCCTCCACCAGTCCAGCCAGGGACCTAGAGCCCATGGCAGTGTCTCATGCAAGTCCATATTGAGGATCTGCACTGGGAAGGACCAAAGTCCAGGGGTGGAAGCCAGAAAGCCTGCACCAGCTGGGGGAAGGGTCTGTGATACCAGCTGAGGGATCTGCACTGGAGCCAGGAAGTGACGCTTAAGGTGAAAACCAGAGCTCTCTCATTGAAAACAGCAGCCATTCCCAGGGACAGCGAGGACCTGAGCTCCTCTGACAATGTCAACAGCTGAGCTCCTATCAGAAAAACCAGCTGCAGCAGCAAGCTTCTCCCAGAAAATCAACAGCACATGATCTTCCCCTCCAGTTCTCTTTCTATGCTGTTGGCAACAATCCTCAGGTGGGTCTTCCACACCCAGAACCACCCTGACTCAGTTCAGCTGGGCATTCCAAGTTGACCATTAGTTAAACACAGAGGTCAAGCAGGGTGTGGGGGGTCAGATCTGTAGCCCCAGTACTGTGGGAGGCTGAGCCAGGAGGACTGCTCCACTCCAACACAGTCATTTTAGTGACTTAGTAAGACTTGGTCTCAAAACAATAATTTTTTTAAAAGTTGGGGATATAACTCAGTATGGAGACCTAGGTCAAGTCCCAGTACGAGGGGGCGGGCAGGTTAATTTGAATAACTCTTTGAAAATAAAGTTGGAAATGAAAATGAAATAGAGAAATTCCTAGGAAATTTTAGTATGCTATAAATGAGTCTGTCTAGAAAAGACAGTTTCTCTGAAAAAAGCAATTGAGAGGCTTCCAAGAACTTCTACGAAAGCCAACAAGCACATCTTTTTGAGCAAGAATCCTACAAGCATTTTGAAGGCATGTGGTTCTACTGGCACACAGTGTTCCAGAAACAATGCGGTGGAGAATCTCACAAATGGGCAAAAGTGGAGGTACGATATGGAAAGGTCAGCGAAGGAGAAAGTTCCATATCGATTCCCTGTGCTACAACAATGCAGAATTTGCAAACAGAATTGATAGCATATGAAAAAATAATATATCAAGGTGAAGAAGAAATTGTACAAGGAAGGTAGATCTGGCTAATAGGAGAGTATTTACATAATTCATCATATTATTTCATCTAAGATAAAAATAGCTCGGTTTTCTCCATAAAACTTGAAAAGGCCTTTAAAACTTTACTTATTCATGTATAAAATGCTCAATAGAATGGAAATTGAAGGGTCATTTTTTAATATGATAAATATGTTAATATTCTTAACTAAACAGCCAGCAACTTACTTACGGGGATAATGCTGCAGGTCTTTCCTCTTGTTTTTTAAGGCAAAACTGTCCACTATAATTTAAACTTATTTTGGAGAACTGAATAACTACATTCACATGCGAGAACAACAAATATTGTTATAAAAATTTGAGTTTTAAATTTTTCTATTGGCTAATGATGCAATCAATAATTTTCAGTACCTGGCTGGAAACTAGAAAGGCAATCATAAAAATCACTGAAAGAATTTTAAATTTTTAATGAAAAATCAATACCCTGTCTATGTCAAAAACTAAATCCTAAAAAGGTGAAATAAATGTGCTGCTGAAGCAAGCACCTAAAAAGGTGAAATAAAGAAAGAGAAATCCTCTTTTATTTTATGAACAAAAATTATAACATCCTCGGAGAAGAAATCATAATAAGATATGTGCTACTCATATGCAAGACAACATTAAAACATTTCTCAAAAAAAAAATCCCCAGTAAAAAACAAACAAGAAATAATTGGTATGTAGGTGATTAGAATATGCTAGCTCAACCTCTTTAAAATAATGATTGTTTTGAAAATCTCAGTCACAGAGAAACTCCAGAAATGAGTGCTGTTGCCCTCTTGCAAGTCAAACTTCCCCGATGAAGCACTGGCCACTGGCTAGGCGTTTGCCTCGCTGCGCAGGGGAGGGACGGCTCTCAGGAACTGGATTAGTACCGAAGGCCCTAAGCTTCCTGTACTTGACAAACCTTAACCTTGACCAGGAGTTTCCTTATTGCCTCCCACTGCCCGATCTCATTCCTTCCTTCAGCTGAAGATGATGTATAAGCTTGAAATCAAAGCTATCTATTAGAGGTTTCTGCATTTGGCCGAATATCACATCCATCTATTTATCTATCTATCTATCTATCTATCTATCTATCTATCTATCTATCTATCCATCCATGTATATATCTACAAACAATTGTTTGTTTTTCCCTTGGTTATTCTGCGCCTCATTCCATATCAGTGAAGGCCCACAGGGAACAAAAGGAACCTTATTTTTATCTCCTCTACAAATGCAGATAAGCACATTCTTTTCTCCCAGGTTATATGATGGAACTTCAAGCACAAATCAGAACTATGAGGCGTTACCCTCTCACCCCAGTTAGAATGGCTATGAAGAAATCACAAAGTAAATCCTGGCAAGGGTGTGGGAGAAAACATGAATAATTTTGAAAGACATGTTTATATTCAACACTAAAAATTTCCATCATAAGAGCATAGGAACAGAAAAATAAATCAATCCTAAAGCTACTGGAAAATATTTAAATTAAGACAAAAATTGCAAAAGTAGGTGAGCAGAGTGGCACATGCTGGTAGGCTGAGGCAGGGTCACCAGAAGGTCAAACCCAGCTTGGGCAACTTTAGTGGCTTAGGGTGTCTCCCCCCAAAATAAAAAGCCTGGGCATGTTGCACATTTGTAGCTCAGTGTGAAGGCCTTGGGCTCAACCTCCAGTACCACACACACAAAAAAAGCTAAAATAGGAAAATGATAAAGAAAAATAACAATTAACATTGTTGAGAGTTTTGATAAAGTCTTAAACTATGTAAGAGAACAAAAAGCTACCAATATTGGCAATGAAAGAGGGAAAATTATCACGTTCCACACATTAAGAGAATATGAAAGAAATATGTAAAAATTTGGGCAGTAAATTTGATAACCTCAGGAAAATAGCTGTGTACTTAGAGTAGAGCAGAACAGAGCTGAACGGAAATTGACAGTCTGAACATCTATGTACTTAAAAAAGAAAAATCCTTAACTCGTATCATTCCACGATAAAAACAACAGCCACAGATTCCTCAGGAGTGAGCAAAAAACAAGGTATAAGAATAGCAAAACCAGTAGTCACCTCGGATCCCAGGAAAAGTGGAAGCTCCCAGTCCAGCCAGTGCCGAGGGCTCCTCCCAAGCAGGGACAATGACCCCGCGACCGGAGCCACCGCCTCATGGTCCAGACACGTGGCCCTCTCAGGTGATGATGTGCAGACATCCAGAAACCACCCTGCGACAGAACTGAGTACTGTGAAGGCTGGCAGGGAGATGACCTGCAAATTCCAAATATTAGTTACTCCTGTCTTCATTTCCTCTGTCTTGAGAAATGAGATAGGCGAGGGAAGTCGAGGGCTGACTAACCTTGTGATCATCCTCAGGTGATTAACAGCCTAAGTGCAGAGTTGAGCAGGGATCTGACCTGAAGTTTTAAGGTCATAAAGAGACAGACACAGAAATACCTGAAGGCAGAGATGCCCAGCTCCACGCGGCTTCCAGGTTCCATCGGACAGCTGCAGGCCCAGCCTCCCAGTCCCTGTGCCCAAATGGCTCTCAGCCTGTTATGACACCAGCATCATTCTGACACCAAAGCGAGGCTGAGGGCATGGGAACATTCCCTCTGAAGGTCTGTGATTTCGTTCTGATGCAGTTTATTGACAAGAACTCACAGGAGAAAAGTTAAACCCGTGTTTGAGGAAGCACACGAACGCGGGACACACAGAATGTGAAACTGAAGAAAGCAGCAGATGCCTAGGGCTGAGCTACCCTAGTATATGGGCTATAGGCAATAAAGGGGAATAAATGAGCATTGATGCTGCAGAATACACAACCCCCTGGACAGACTCCTCTGGCCTCTGGGCGTGGTGTTTGCTTTTCAGTCTCCTTTTGTGTGATACAAATTCAATCTTCCATGGTGAATCATAGTTCAGAAAGGTCCTGCTTTGCTGGCTGTGGCCTTAGGTAGAGAAGGAAAGTTCAGAGAAAGCGTGGTTCTGGGCTTTGGGAGGGAAGAGGGCCCAGGAAAGGGGAGGAGAAAGTCAGGGAGACGGAACTATTGCTGCTGTAGTGCAGCAGTAAAGCACTGTCCTTGGCCTGTTGTTTCCTAAGTTTCAACAAGAAACCATGGCTACAAAAGCAGAGAAGTACAAACGGATATGTGTTATGAACACTGACACAGAAAACTTCAGCAAAGTATTAGCAATTCAGATTGAGAAAAATGTAAAACGATAGTACCTATTCTACCACCCATGCATAGCATTACATTTCCTTAACTTGATGAACAGCACCAGAGTTAGTGTTGCCAATATTTCCATATCCTGACCCCTTAGTTTCCAGAACCTGTGAGTGTTAACTCCCAGGACAGCAAGGAATCTGCTCATGGTATTCAGGTAAAGGATCTTAACCTGGTGAGATTATCCTGGCTTCTCTGGGTGGGCCCAGTCTAATCACAAAAGTCCTTAAATTTCTGCAAAAAGTGAACATGAGCAAGGAACTAAGTGCCTCCTGAAAGCTGGCAGAAAGGGACAGGACCCTACCAGCATCCGGATTTGAGCTCAGTGGACTTGGTTTTGGACTACTGACCTAGAAAATTATAAAATAATATATGTTTTAAAGTTGCTAAATTTGTAGCAATTTGTTATGGCATCTGTAAAGAGAACAGTAGCTACTATCCTACTTAAATGCAATGTATCAACACATAGCACAACTGGGATCAAGGTAAGAATAACTCTCTCATCACTGTATTAACTATTTCATAAAATCACTTACCAAGTATAATTCATCAAGGAGAGAAGTGAAATTATTCATATTGGAAAGATGTCTTCATTTAGGGAAACACCTGGTACAATTACATAAGAAGCTAAATTTATTCCAGAGAGGATATGGCTAAATAAGCACAGCTTGAATATTCAAGAAAATTTGAGAAGAGAGAAAAAACTACAGAAAAGCTTTGAAGTTTATGTAGAAAGCTTGATATAATTCTGAAACTATTTTGCATGCAGTGTAAGATAGAATTGCAGAATAAAATTATTGATGTTTTTGTATCTAGTGTTTTTACAATGAGGAAAAGGAAACACAAAAAACGGAGTGGGAAAATATGAGAAGGAATGAGAAAGTGTTAGATTGAATTCAAGGTGTGATAATAAATACATGAATTTTAAGAGTATTTCTTGACTCTATCTTCTAGGAGTGCTTAGAAGCAATGATGGCCAATTAGTGATGAGAACATTCAGATATTAGACCATAAATATTTTTCCATTTGAAATAAACCTGCGCTCCTTGGAGCAATGCCCAATAATAAGTTTTAAGCACACACACACACACACACACACACATACACACACACAATATATGTATGGAACATTTTGTTTTTCTCCAAAAATAAGAATAAGGGAGTAGTTTTCTTTGCAGAATAATGCAAACCAATAAAAGTAGAATAATAAAGAGAGGCAAAAAGTAATTATTTTTCCATATTCTATTGAATATTTGATTTAGACAACTGTGATTAGTGATTAAGCCCCTGGAAAAAAATGAACAAGGGAACTTATGAAGATAAATATAACCAAAATCAATAATAAAAAGATAACATCATAACAGAATACAGATATTTAAAAATGAATGAGAGAATATTGTTAGTAATTTCAAGTAAATAAAATAGAAAAATATGTGAAATATATAGCTTTGTAGAAAATATTATTTACCAAAACTGAAATAGAAGGAAGAAAATTTGAATATTAAGAAAACTTACTTTAAAGTCTTCCCCAAGGAAAAGTCTAAGACAAAATGATTATAATGGTAAGCTCTAGTAAATATTTAATGAGTAATAACACTAATATTTTACTCATTCTTTCAGACAATAGGAAAAATGAAAGCATTTCTAAGTAATATATAAACCCAACTAAAACATTATGGGAAATAGATATTGGAGACTAATCTAATTTATACAGGCAGAAACTTCTTTTAAAATGAACAAAATGTCCAGAAATATATTTTAAAATGACATACTAGAAGCAAATTAACTTTATTCAAGGAAAGTAAGGTTCATGTAACATTTGTCATTTTATTAGTATAATTTAACACATTAAAAAAGAAAAATATTAAAAATACATCAATAGATATAAAATGACAATTAAAATACTTGTATCTCTAGACCAAAATTCCAACAAGATTAGCAACATGGCACTGATAAGGTATTCAAAATGTCGCTGAAATGAAGAGGCATCTGAGACAATCTTATGAGTTCCCTATATCTGTGTTCGGTCACAAATACAGTTACGGCTCAGAAAATCTTATGGTTTTACCTTTAGGTACAAAACCTGAAAAATGCATACATATATGGACAAACTATACATGCAGCAATCACCAAAGCAGTATTAAATGTACTGGCTCCAAACTCAAAAAAGCACTAAAGTCCATTAGGTATTTCAAGCAGTGATTACTGAGTTAAAATGTAAAAAACCTAAATAAAAACTAGAAGAATGATCTCCCTATTATGCAAAGACAGAATAATGGCATAACCAATACATAATCTTTGTAATGTTTACATCTCACAGAGTATTCTGAGCGTGTTTGCTCCTGGTAACCTGCACTAATTGGGGAACCCTGTAGCAGGGAATTAACATCCCACATCCCAGGACCTTACATCTCATTTCCTTTCTGGTAATCATGAACTTTTATCTTCCCAGTGAGGTATGGACATCTTCATCCATGCTTTAGATTCTGCAGCTATGTGACCTAGGGCAAGGCAATGTATTTTCAAATTTATCTAATTCTGCAGAGTAGCTGAGTGTAGCGTCACTCCCTCTGCTGTGGTAGTGGACTGAGGTCTGGTTTCTCAATGTGATCTACAGTGCTCACTGTGGTCAGGCTTTGTAACCATCCTGCAGGCTTCCCACAGGAACTAAGTGTAGTTTTCATTTACTTTTCTGTGATAATGAATGATATGGAACACTTTGCCATATAGTTCTAATTTAACTTCTTGTGTTTTGAAGAACCGCATACATGTGATATATAGCAGAACTGGCAGGAAAGAGTGGTAGGTAAAAAATGGCCATTTCTATGAATGTTGGATGGATGATAGGCTGCTTGTGGGTTAAAAATTATATTTGACTTCTATATTGTTTTTCAAAACCAGCTTTAAATGTCTTGTAGTCTTCATCATTAGGGTAATATTGTAATAATTTAAAAAGACAATATATTTTAGGATCATTAGGAACTGAGAAGACTTACAGGCAGCTCATACTGAACATTTAGTATCCGAGAGAATTGTCGTTACAAACCACAATTAGAAATAGGCATGACGTCAGGGTCAAAGTTCAACTCAGCAAACACCAAGAAATGAGGGTAAATTACCAGAAAATTCCAAACTCTGTCAAAGGCAATTTTAAGTGCCACCTACCAGCAGTAAGACAGATTGTTTATCACAGAAGTTTCACCCCAAAGAGACTATGACCTACTACTGATGCACTCTTAGCATTCTTAAAAGAACCTGGTCATACATGCTTTAGATATGCATTAATGCCCATGACATCAAAAAGAAGGAAAAAACAAAAACAATCCTGTCCACCAAAAAGAGAACCAATAAACAAATTGTTATACTGACCTAGAGTCAAATCTCAGAAGGGACTCCAACTATTAACGTGGACGTGAATGGCTACTATAGTCGTGCTTTTGTGTGAAAAATGTGAAGAGTAGAAGAATATACAATAGAAAAATATGACTCAAAATTCTTGTAGAATGCAATCATAAAATAAAATCTCAAGCATGCTCTTCAAAGAAACACATGTAGGTGACAAATTATTTCCAGAAAAGGGAAGCAGGAGAAAGGTTATGAGGGAACCACACCCCAGAGGGTCCCCCCGAAGTGTAATGGGTACTCATTTAATTCCTCACTGCTGTGTTGGCTCACACCCTTTGTGCATTGTTGTTACACTGAAGCTCACAGGCAATGCACGAGGACCACTCCTCACCTGGCTCCAGAGGTGCCATTCACCCGCCCGCCTCAGTCTCAGGACCATGGTCACGTTCACCTCCCACCTCACATCGCTCAGATCCTTGCATGGACTCAGGAAAGCCAAAGTACTTCAGTACTCAAACAGGAGTCTTTCAGTGTGTACAAACCTGATTAACCCTCGAAATGTCATGTGATCTTAGTGAGGAAAATGTTGCCCACAGTGAAATATGCACCAAGTTTATGTTCCTACTCAAAATGTCGTCCTTCAATATTATGCAACTTCAACTTGGCATGGAGAATGATGGGTCATTTTCCCTCTGTGACCAGGAAGCAAGAGGATGTTCTCTACTGCTGCCCCATAGGAGCAGGTCCTGGGGGTGACAGACAAGGAGTAGCAGACGCTTTCACAGTGCCCTGAAAGCAACCCTTCCTTACAACTGACCAAGGCGACAACACACACACCACAATGTATTGATGAGAGAGATCTCACCTTTATTTTCTGAAATTACATGAGCTACTCATCTTACTTACTTTCCTTGTTGGTGGATGAATGAAGGAAAGAAGGAAGGAAGGGAGGAATGAATGAATAGGCTGATAATTTAGCTTGATGTAAAGATCCTGGGTTTATTGCCCACTGCAGAAAAGAGAGAGGGGGAGAGAGAGAAAACCATTTTCAATTTGAGTGTAATTCACTTTTAGTTTTGTAATGACCCTATACCTCTAGCATTGATTAATTTTATCACATAAAATTACACAAATTTTATATATCAGTTTGGGAACAACTTTATTGCAAATTGATAACATGTTTTTTCTGGTTACAGCATTTACTAAATATCCATGATTTTTAGTGCTTTTTTTCCAAGATGCTTTACCAGACGGAACTCTTAACTACACCTTCTGCTGTAGAAGCTTCAGAAGTTTGAGAGGGAATGGGCGGCCCTGGCTCTCTTTCCTCCTCTCTTCATGAACGCGCTGATGGTTGTGTGCATAAACAACTGAAATGTGTCACTGGTCAATGCATTTGTGGCAGGGGAGGGCTCCAGGAGAGGACAGTGACTCTTGACGAAGTGAGCATGTGGGACTGTCTCCTCGTCAGCGTGGAACAGGGGCATATGCACACTGAACTGCCAGCGTCGTGTTCTCTTCGCGTGCTCCACACTCAGGGCCCCTGAAA